TCTGTACATTCCCAGCCCCACCTGTAAAAACCCCTATTACCACCGGTCCCGTATTACAGGTGGTTGGGATTTGTTTACTTCATTTAGGGCTACATAACCACCTCTGACCGCTGGTTCTAATCCGAGCGAGGAAATTGACCACGATCGTAAGCGCCTTAGCTCCCAAACGGATAAGACTGAATTATTTGTGGGAAAAATTTCACAAAGGATCTGTATGAGTTCCCCGTTAGTGCTGAAGGTGGACAAACTTATTTTCCTCCGTGACTTTAGTATACTAGTAGGCCCAGACCATGTTATCTGGATGAATTGGTTGTTGCGTGAAAGAGAATTGTAGTACCGATGAACTCCTTTTATTAAAAACCTCTACAGAACACAATTCGCTCATCATCAAAGCTGCCTTTTGCCTTCTCGATCGCAAAAGGACAATGTCATAGTTCGAAATTCGTACCTGACGATGTCTAATGTGTGCTCCACAGCAAGGTGAAGTAGGCACGGTGACTTGCGCAACATCTGCTGTTCTCTCCTATTCTCCCCATCTGGGCCCGGTATCAAGACATAGTCAAGAAGATCGGAGGTGAGGGAGGGCGCAGGTGGCTGGCACGGCCGGGAGCCGCACCTAGGCGTGCTACCGCACACTCCGGGTTCACAACAAAAATTTGACCAGGATTTTAGATAACAAGACGAGACTGCTGTGCCACAAATATGATGATGCTGGATCGATCAACGCCACGTCGTGGCCAAGATGGAACTGCACACCCAACTACGAAGAGAATCTTAAGAGAAGTTTATATCGAGAAAGCCGGGCGCTGCAGTGTTGGGTCGTGTTAAGCACAGGTTGGACCTCATCTGCAGAATAAACAACAACCTAGGGCAATTTGTGGCTCTAGAGGGCGGAGACACCGAGAACACATTGAGGATACTGAAGGACGCTATTTACAACATTGAAGTAAATGTTCCACAGATCCGCATGTAGACATTATCAGGGCTTATTCGGCGGTAATGACATGCAAATGCGGTCAGCGGCTCTAGGAGGACCTGCCTACTAAGACCTGTGTGGACAAGTGCAGCGCATCAAGCAAAGGTGTATCTGTCCATGTGGACGCCAAATGCAACAAAGGTTAATGACCATTACTGATGGAATCCAAGGGTATGCCAACGAGAGATGACATGAAAAATGCCTCCGCAGTCATCAAGGCAGTCTAGAGTCACTAACCCACAGCAAATGCGCGGTTGCACACTTTAGAAGGAGCCATACCGCTGTCAAAGGAGTCCGTCTATAGTCCGCGAATAAGCCATCAACAGACTTCCTAAATGTAAACTAAGGGAGAGTTTGGTTGACCATCCTTCCCGTAGGAGGCAACTAGGGTTATTTAGCAATGTTCAACGTAAAATGCTTCGATTTCAACAGAGGTCTATCAATATATCGACCCTTAACTTTTGCACAGACTAAACTCGTTGATCCAGGAAGTTTAGAGCTAATGACAAGTTACAGTAGACTTCAAGGGTGTCACTATTAGTAACCTCTACAAGCGTCAACACTGACAACACCAGCCGACCTCTCTTCTCAATGCAACCACATTCGTCTCAATCGCCAAAAGAAACTCCCGGAAGATGGGCCTCTCCCAGAGACTCAGCATGGATTCTGAAAATATCATTGAAGAACCAGTATGGCCATCGCTGAGCGAAAACTATAGAAAACTGCCGGTCAGTTAACGTTGGTTTCTGGGGATTCCAAGAGGGCCTTCAACGCCACGAACCGAGACGAATGCTAGAAAATTTACGATGACATTTGGATGTCTCGAAAAATTCAGGCTCACTTCCAGGCAGTTGTATAACCATGTGATAGCACAGCCCGTGCACCAACCTCAGAAGCATTCGCCGAGACAAATGGAACGGAACAGTGCCAAATACCTGTCAAAAACCTCGCGCGCTCTGAAATTCAGATAGATGCCTAACGTTAAGAACGACCCCGATGCGACAGAAACTATCCAACCAATGGGACCCATCAAATATCCGTCGTATGCATAACTTCACGAAAATCTCCAAAGTCAGGCTAAGTCACGTATTCATTGATATTTTGGCAGATTTTGAATAATTCATATTGACCCAACTGTGAAAAACTCGGCGCCTCGGTGGGATTCGAACCCACGCAGTAAGGAGCAGGCTTTAATACAGCCAACGCTTTAACCACTTGAGTTAAGAGGCCCCACCGGACGACGAGAGTTTAATCACATTTGGGTCAAGTTACCCGCCCAACCTACTGCAACGTCTGGAATCCACCAAATCTGATACAGTAAGTTGCCTGCCCAAGCAGGATTTCCTAAGTAATTCACCTAGAATCCACCAGATGACTACCAGGCTCGCGTAATTCATTGATATTTTGGTAGATTTCTTCGGTACCTCGATCACCGCAATTGAGGTGGGTGTGCGCTGAGGCCTAGATCTCTTCATCCCCGAATGCCCAACTTCGATTCACATATTAAATATGAGAAAACAGTAGCCACGACTTAACAAACACCAAACCCAATTCATCATCGACGGCGACCGATCCTCCACAGTGGACAAACTCGCCTATTTCAAAAGCAACTTGGTGGACAGAGAAATTACAGTTGGTTGTGCCGATATCAGTCGCGCCTTTCGTTCGTTTCAGTTTTCCGCATGGTATCACCAAGGCCTCCTTTTCAACGCCAAGCTTAAGAGACGCATCGCTGTACATTGATTAAACTTATATGAGGCGCTAAATGTAGAACACTATTAAAAGCAAATGCAGAAGCTCAACCACTTTCACCTAAGCTGTCTTCGGTGGACAATAAAAGTTAGGTGGTACGAGTGAATCGCGGACACTCAAGTTTCGGAATTGACATTTTGCAGTACCGAAGTAAATCCAGCTTCATTGGGGCAGCCACATACGCGACGCATCCGATGAGCGCTTGCCAAAACGACTCTTCTACGACGACCTTGACAGAAGTGCTTGCCGAGAAGTTGGATAGAAAAATGCATCGGGACACTCGGAAAAGTGCTGAAAGTCAGCCACGGACCCCGAGAACCCTACACAGGATCAGCAGGCGTGGCGAAGTGCAATAAAGAAAACCAGCAGAGTAATCTTCCAAGTCCACGGAATGCATGGGATAAAAAAGAAGAGTCTTTAATGAAGAAATGGAATACCGAGAGACACGTTTTCTAGTGAGTACCAACTATCCACACGTCCACACTTTCAACGCACATTCAGGACTCGCAGTGGACTTGTGGGACGCCACTCGCATGCATCCCAGCGTAACCAAGGACTAACACAACTAGTCGATACAAGGGGAGATGCGGATGGCCGAACACACAGCAGCAGCAGCAGCAGCAGCAGCAGCAATGAAGAGGAGGAATGGCTCTAGCCCTCAACTCGCGACTCATTCAACAGGACGCGGTCACATCTTTGAGTTAGACGAGGCCAGCAGTCTCGTGAGTGGCGTGGACGGCTTGAGTCATGGGTCTCCGATTGACAAACTATTAACAAGCACCACGACATTCCCCCTCCAAGTTCAGTGCTGAGACTTTGCCTAGGCAGAGAAACTGAGTACACTAGGAGCGCGGGCGAACATTATTTTCAATGCCCGCGTGCAAGGAATAAAATGACTGAGTAACTGTCAGGGCAATATACAAAAACGTTGATGAATCGGGGCCGTTAACGACTTGGATGTGCAAAAAGTGCTACCATCTGCGATGAATACAGGAGCTGCTCATTTTGATAGACTTGTGTTGGCATGGCAACTGTCAGGCGGAAATAGCCTAACCGACTGGTTCGCATGCGGCCCAACCTACCGATCCACCCACACACCGTGCGCGTGCTGATGTTGCGTCAACTCCCGACAGGACTAGAGGTCAACCCAATCAGACAGATGAGTCAGAAGTGCAGCCGACATGGTTCGACAGTTCGATCGTCGCATCCGACGATGTCCACCGTATGCTCCACACAGGGTGGGAGCAGGAACGGTGATTTGCGCAGGATTATGGTGAGAGTAGACTTACGCTGCATCTACCACACCCTCTCCTCCTACCCCACCTGGACCCGGTGCCAAGGCAGTCAAGAAGACCGGAAACGAGGGATGGCGCAGGTGGATGGCACGGTCGAGCCCGCACATTGGCGCTCCACTACACACCCCCTGGCCCACACGACAAATAACCAGGTTTTGGACCAACAACAAAGAGAATGGAGGCTGGCGTGTCTGAAACTGCACCTAAAAGTGCCGCCACACCCGGCTTGTATCCCACACAGTGGAAGTGCACTAAAGGCCACATTAAGAGGGAGCCGTTGCAGCCTGACCCTCAGACCACCAGCCGGCCACTCCACTCAAACACACACAACACTGGGCCGACTGCGAGGTCCAAGATGCCCCATCAGTTGGCAACCTTTGAAGTCATGGCTTTTAGTGCACCGTGATAGCTTCAAGCACGTCAGATTGTTTAAAGTGAGGAAAATGCGTTGAATCGTTCACCTCACTCTCCCTTCCCATTCCCACACCCCAGCCGCTGTCCGAGGTGGTCAGTTGACTGGAGCGAGGAATGGGCGCGGTGGCTGACATGGTCGACTGACCATGTCTGCGCGCGCCACGTGCACGATTTGGCTCCCCAGACACAAACACCAGGATTTCACACGACGGCGGTTGAGCGGCGTAATTTCCACATGCGTGAGAGTGCCGTGGAAGGAGCTGTTTCGGCCCGGCCCCCAGCCCACCAGTCCGCCACTCCACAGAAACACACACAAAACTGGACGGACTGCGTGGACTGAGTTGAGGCGTCAGTCAGCAGCATTTCAATCCGCGACGCTTGGCGCGTCGGGATAATCTCAGGCTCGAGTCACCCGTGCGACAGGAGCCGCACGGACACCGAGTCGAGACACGCACTTCCCACTTGCGTGGGAGGTGGCAGTTGGGTGTTTGCGTGGGTGATGTTGTTGTGCGGTGAGATGGTGGCGAGGGAGGATGTGATGGTGTGGTGCAGCCGGCGGTTGTCTACCGCAGGTTTTCGTGGATGCGCATGTGGCCGAATAGGCCCATGTGGTGCATGAAAGTGCGAGGGCAGTGGAGGCGGATGTGGAGGGTGTAAGTGAATGCCTCAGGCATTGGTTCTCCAGTCTCTGCGTGATGGATTAGCAAGTGGCCGACCAGGCCGATGCGTGGGGTAGATGTGCGTGGACAGTGCGGGCATGAGAAGTCGGCGGTGCCGGTGTCAGCTACGGAGATGGTGGCGGCGACGGCGACGGCGGCGGCGACGGCGGCGGTGGGCGCACAGGGCGACGAAGTGAGGGAGCGGCTGAGCATGCTGGGGTGCTGGATGTAGTGGCTGTGTCGGGACTGGTCAGTGATAAGTAAGTGCAGATGCCACAACGTGAGTGGGGGACAAGACTGGCAAGGGCGCATCTGAGCAGCGTGCAGCTAAATGGGAGTTCGACTGTCGCGAGCGACGACGTCCGCAGTGGGCGCAGCACCGGTGACTTGCGCGTGAGTTAATTTGTGCTGACGCAGATTTGCACGGCATCTATCGCACCATCTCACTCACCAGACTCCAAAGGCAAGATGATGTCAAGGCGACGGGGGTTGGTTCGGACGCAGTGGCTGACGAAGTTAACCCCCGTCTGCGCGGCCTGGCTGCCCTGCGCAATGTACCAGGTTTTCCTGGTAGTCATCTGGTGGATTCTGGGTGGATTACTTAGGAAATCGTGCTTGGGCAGTCAACTTACTGTATCAGATTTGGTGAATTCCAGACATTGCAGTAGGTTGGGCGGGTAAACTTGACCCAAATGTGATTAAACTCACGTTGTCCGGCAAGGCCTCGTAGCTCAAGTGGTTAGAGCGTTGACTGTACTAAAACCTTCCCCCTACTGCGTGGGATTGAGTCCCACCGAGGAGAGGAGTTTTCCACAGCTGGGCCAATATGAATTATTCAAAATCCGCCAAAACAGCTATGAAATATAGATTTCTCAGGCAAGTACCCTGCCTAGTGCCGCTAACTGAGCATTAGGCTTTTTCATTCCCCATGGACTTTCGTGACGTTTCGCGACCGATTTCTTAATATATACTTGTTTGTTTCCTCTCTTTGGAGCAAAGTTTTCTATAACCTTTCATGGAAAAATGCCGAAGGATGGAAGAACCTTTCGTTATTACGACGGGGAGAGCATTGTAATGGCCCAACGCGTTTCAGCATTGAAATTTACAGTTCAGACAGATGTTTCGTCAAAAAACTAAATACCCTCAATGCCTAATGTCATGGACGTTACAATTATTATTTTTGTCACAGTAAGCATGTTTAGTTGGATCATATATCTGTTAGTTTATAGTGCCGGTAGACTTGCGTAGCATCTACCTACACTCTCTCCTCCTCCCTCGCCCGAGACCGGTGTAAAGACAGTGTCAAGAAGACCGGAGACGAGAGAGGCCGCAGGTGGATGGCTCGGACGGATCCTCACCTTGGCGTTCCACCACACCCCCTGGCCCACACAACAAATAACCAAGATTTCAACCAACACAAGAGAGATTTGGAGGCTGGCACGACCGAAGCCGCACCTGGGCGTGCCGCCAACGCCTGGCTCGGATCCCACACTGTGATGGGAGTGCCATAAAGGCCACATTAAAAAGGAGCCATTGCAGCCTGACTCTCAGACCGCCTCCGGTCAAGGAGGAGGTCCAAGATACCCCGTCAGTTTGCAACCTTCCAAGCCACCGCTTTTAGCGCACCGTGATAGCTTCAAGCGCGTCAGATGGTTTATAGTGAGGAGAAAGTGCGCTGAGTCGTCGACCTCACTCTCCCTTCCCACTCCCACACCCCAGCCGCTGTCCGAGCCGGTCAGCAGACTGGAGTGGGGAATTGGCGCGGTGGCTGTCATGGTCGACTTACCATGACTGCGCGCGCCACGGCACGACCTGGCCCCCCATACACACGCAAACACCAGGATTTCACACAACGGGGGTTGAACGGCGTGTGTCTCCCTTGCGTGAGAGTGCCGTGGAAGGTGCTGTTTCAGCCCGTTCCCAGCCCACCAGTCCGCCACTCCACACAGCACACACACACAACGCGACGAACTGCGTGAACCGAGAGCGGGCGTCAATCAGCAGCCTTCCTATCCACGACGCTTGACGTGTCGGGATAGTCTCGGACTCAAGTCACCCGTGCAGCCGAAGCCGCATGGGACCGAGTCGAGATGCGGACTTCCCACTTGCGTGGGAGGTGGCAGTTGGGTGCATGAGGTGTGTGAGTGTTGATTTCTGGTGGGGTGATGGTGGTGGTGGAGAAGGTAGGGAGTGAGTGAATGTGCGGTGTGGCCGGCGGTTGTCTACCGCAGGTCGTCGTGGATGCGCACGTGGCCGAATAGGCCCATGCGATGCCTGAAGGTGCGAGGGCAGTGTGGGCAGTTGAGACGAGCTTGGTGGGTATAGATGGGTGCTCCAGGCACTGGGTCGCCAGTCGCTGTGCGATGGATTCGCAAGTGACCGACCAGGCCGATGCGTGAGGTGAATGTGCGTGGACAGTGTGGGCATGAGAAGTCGGCGGTGTCAGCGTCAGCTGCAGAGGAGGCGGTGGTGGTGGTAATGGCGCGGATTGATGGGACGAGGGTGGGGGTGTGCACGGTGGATGTGTTGGATGTGGTGGGTGTGTCGGGAGTGCGGTCAAGGCCGGTCTCGTGGATGCGCACGTGGCCGAAAAGGCCCATGCGATGCGTGAAGGTGCGAGGGCAGTGTGGGCAGTGAAGGCGAGTGCGGTGGGTGTAGGTTGGTGCTTCACGCACTGGTTCGCCAGTCTCTGCGC